GGACTGGAATTGCTATTTTCAACAGCCATTGCCTTTTAGTTTTATTTGTTTAAAAGGAAGACAGTGATATTGCATTGGCAAATTCCCCATAGAAAGAAAGAAAGAGTGGAACAAAAGAATAATAAAGGCACCTCAACTTTTCCTCATTTATGTAGGACAGTCTTATAATATGCATCCAGATATCCTCCCATCACACAAGCTAAAAATTGTTCCACTTTACTGCAGTTTTGTAACCAGCTGGGAACCAATCCTGTCTGTGTTCTGTGCACATCCAAAATTCCTGCTGAATGACCCGCCCTGGGAGCGAGTTACCAGTGACTCAGGGCTGGGGCAGCAGGGGAGTGCGGGGGGAAGCCCAGGGCTGGGATGGGGGGGCAGCCAAAAATTTTTTTTCCTTGGGACAGCAAAAAACCTAGAGCCGGCCCTGGCACTGCGGTTCCTACTGCCAGCCCCTGGGTTTTGTCTTTCTCAGGCTCTGGCAGCGGGGGAAGGGTCTATCTGGACCACGACCACAGACTGTCAATAACTCTTGGCACAGCGGGCAAGGACAGGACGGAAGCGAATCTTGTGCCAATGTCTCAGAAGGGTAAACGGGACCCTGGGGTAATTCTAGGCCAGCCAGTCTGACACTGATCCCAGCAGAGTAATGGGATGGCCAACACAGGCCTGGGCTCTCCAGAGCTAAGGGGATGATGAAATGAATCTTGCCTAGCGGATTGGATACCTTCTTTGCCGGAGAGTCTGAGTTTGGCTGATAAAGACCAGAGTGCTGAAGGGTGGGAACTTTAACAGTGCCTTGGTGCCGCACAGCATTTTGATTGAGAAGCTAGAATGATGCACAATTAACGTGGTCCACAGTAAATGGATTAGAAACTAGCGGATGGGTGTCAAGATAAAACTGTAACTGGAGAATCGTCACTGAGTGGGTGTGTAGGGAGAGGTTCTGGGCCCTGATGTGTCATGCTTTTAGCAGTGACCTAGACAGTTTGCAGTTGACACAAATTTGGGGGAGTGGGAAATATTGAAGAGGGCAGGGCCCTGACACAGAGCAATCCTGGCACAAGCGAACGATACATGTTTTAAGATGGCTAAAGGTCAATGTATCCGTCTGGGACATTGGCCGGAGTTATGGGATTGGAGACGCTCTCCTGGGGAGCCACAACTCTCGAAGAGATGTGGGTTGTAGTGGAGAATCAGCTGCACACGAGCTCCCAGTGCGACGCTGCGGGCCAAAGAGCTAGTGCGGAGCAGAGGTGATTTGACCTCTGGATTTGGCCCTGGTGCTACCACAACTGGGATCCTGGGTCCTATTCTGGGGCTCTCCATCCAAGAAGGATGTGGATAAATCAGAGCCGGGTCAGGGAAGAGCCACAAGAATGATTCAAGACTTAGAAAACCTGACTGAGATGGACAGACCAAGGAGCTCACCCTAGCGTAAAACAGAGACAGTTCAGGGGTGGTCTGATCCCCGTCTACCAGCACCAGGGGAACAGATCTTTAATAACAGGCTCTTCCAGCCAACAGGGGACGGTCGAACACCATCTGATGTTGTTGGAAATTGAAGCTAGACAGATTCGGATGGAAAATAAGGTGCGTTTTTTCCAGTGAGGTTTATTAGCCAGGGGGACAATTGCCCAAGGCTTGTGAGGGATTCTCCATCACTGGCCATTTTTAACCCGAGCCGGGGTGGATTCTTCTCAGAGCCCTGCTCTCGTCCAGTTACGAGGTCCCTGGCCTGTCAAACGAGATGATCACAAGGAATCTGTGAATCTTTCCCTCTGGCGGCTTCCACCTTCCCAAGCAACTGACGCTGTCCTCACAGAACAAGCTACGCCAGATTAATCTTTTGTGGGCTCCTGCGCCTGGACCATGGCCCTGCTCCCTTGTGCTCCACACCAAGGTCCCGCCCAGCCTCTTCCCCCCCAGGCCCTGCCCGCGCTCTGCTCCGAGGCCCCACCCACCGTTTGCCTGGTGTGTAGGGGGCAGAGGGAAGCAAGCAGGGGGGAGGGGTGGGGAGGAGTGGGTGGGGGGCTTGGGGCAGAACACAGGCGGAGCAGGGGGCAGGGCCACAGTCCTGGCACCGGGACCCTTTCTGTGTGTGGGCTGACACAACGGCACCACTGTAAACCCAGTGCTGAGGACAGGACCATCCCTGTGCCATGGGGAGGTGCCAAATGTCTCTGCTTAGGGAGCATTTCTGGGCAAAACCACACAGCATCTCCAGCCATACTGTCTATTAGGGCAGACACTGGTGTCTTTTCCTGGGATCTCTGCACTCGTCACACGTGCTCCATCAGTTGCAGACGCGCTTGCTTTCTATAATCAATGGGTTTTGCCTTTGTCAGCGTGTTGGGCACAGCAATTTCTGTGCCACGCAACTGCTACTGTCTGTTCTGAATGAAAGACGGACTCTGTTCTGTCAATGGTCCCTGCATTTGACATCATGCAGTTTCTTTCTACTGGCTGTTGCCTCCTTAATCTATGCAATCCTACTTCCCCTGCTAAACACGTCTTCTTTACTCAAGAAGTAAAATAATGGCAAATAATGCAGCGACTGCAGGAAACTGGCACGGCTCTTTTGAGATTTACAACTGGTTCCATGGTTTACCTACAACTGGACCCAATCCAAGTGGCGTAACCCACCACCTCATCTAACTCTATCCCCATCACATCTATGTTAATGCTAGTCTAACTACAAAGCTTCATGTACAATAAAACAAATACTAAGCCATGCGAGAAAATGATTTAACATATTACAGGAAAAAGAACTTCTTTCTGTGTCATGATTAACGTAGTTCGAATGTTCCAAAAGGCAGATGACTAAACGCTGTGAGAACTTGCAATCAGGGTGCAATAGGTGTTAAGACCATGGTGCGTGAATTCTCATTTCTGGTCTGAATAGACTGAGCAGGAGTTACGCCAAACACTTTGATTTTGCTGACAAGTTCCCGCACACACGGTTGACAAATCAGCCATTGCTGGTGAATTTTGGTGACCATATGTATATGCATGGGACTAAACACCAAACATTTGTCTTGGTAACAGCTGGGTTTAAAACCAGGAGAGTCAAATGATGTTGGAAAAAGTTACCACCAAACTTTTAACAAAAACTACTTCTGGAGCCCTGGGACCAGTATTCCCACCCTATACACCATTGTAATAATCAGACCCCTTAGAGAGGTCAATTCTGAGGTTTCTGTCTAGTCTATTCATGGTTAAAGCTGTTCAGGATGAAGTTTGGCTCTCCAGCAAGGGTTGAGCCGAACTGATGAGCCGAAGAGGCTGACATGTGCTTGGGGCTCTCTTGCAAACCAGCGGGGCTGCTGTGTCCGCAATGGGGTGGCTCAAGGTGACACGCTTTGGTCATTGAACTTGAACAGCACTCGCATAGCATGAGTTTGAGCCCAGCCCTGTGCAGTGTGCAGAGAATGTGTCTTGGGCGTGTCCCTTGTATCCGTAGGAGCGCCTTCAGGAAGATTTGCCCTTCAACCCAAGTAAAAGGCAATATTTCAACGGCTCCAAAATCCACCTCGGACCCTGATTCTGCTTCACAAACACTGACTAAGAAAGCACCCGGGAGCCAACAGAAAGAAGATGAAAGACTCGGGAAGCAGTCTGGTCACAGTTCTGGTTCCCCTGTCTCAACAAAGCTATAGTAGAATTGGAAAAGGTGCAGAGAAGGGCAATGAAAATGATGAGGGGGATGAAACAGCTTCCATAGGAGGTGAAATTAAAAAGATTGGGACTGTTCAGCTTAGAAAAGAGACAACTCAGGGGGAATATGATAGAGGTCTACAAAGGATGACTGGTGTGGAGAAAGTGAATATGGAAGTGTTATTTATCCCTTCACAGATTACAAGAACTAGGGGTCCCCTGATGAAATTAACAGGCAGCAGATTTAAAACAAAAAAAAGGAAGTAGTTTGCACAATGTACAGTCAACTTGTGGAACTCACTGCCAGAGGATGTTGTATGTACGTGAAACAGCGATTAGATGAAGAGGGTAAAGGACAAAGTGCATTTAACAGGTTGTATATAAGCAATTGACTTGTTGGCCTAGTGGTTAGTGTGGTTGATAAGACCTTTGATAACCCTTTCAGGAAGGAGCTCAAAGGCAGCCTCCTTGGTGTGCTAAAGATCCTGTTACTGTGTTTTTGGGATGTCCCTGACTTGAGGACAGGGCCCTGAAAGCACAAGCAGTGCAAACCAGAGAAGTGCCTGTCCAGTGATAAGATTAGTAGCTTTGTTGTTGCTAATAGGCAGAGAGACACGTTCCCTGCTCCAGCGTGGAATGGGGAATTTGGTCATGACTATTGCTCTGTGATGAATCGGAGGAGGGGATGGGGATAAATGCAGGGCATCGCTCTGGGTAGGGAAAGAAAGACTCCAGGCTTGGTGTAACACAGCCTTTGGCTTGCAAAGGTGTCACCTCCCCGCAGGCTGGGCCCTGCAACTAGGCCTGCCAACAGCCACTTCTTACAAGGGACGTCCTTGTTTCTTCATCGCTGTACAACAAGATCGGGAGCTGCTGAGTGCAGCCCGGAATCTCCCGGGCGAACGTGTTAATAACAATGCTAATATTTGGAGGGAGTGGGGCAGGGTGCAAAGAAAACAATTCCCTATTTTTAAATGCAATGTTAGTAGCCCCATCCCAATGGACAGGGCAGCTGGGACCTGCCTGAAATTGACCAGGGCCTGGGATCTTAACTTGGAATTAGGTGTGGATTTTGTTTCCTGCTAGATGGACCCTCCCAAGCTGGGGATAGAACCGAGGACTCCAGGCTTCCAGGCCCGCCCTGCTCTACCCACTAACCCCCCCATCAAAAAAAAAAAAGATGGGAAAGGAACCCAGGAGCCCACCCTTGCCAGCCCTGACCCCCGCCCCGGGGCATGCTGGGAGTTGGAGTCCCCACCCCAGTAGGCGAAAACCGGTCCAGCCCTGACCCCCGCCCCGGGGCATGCTGGGAGTTGAAGTCCCCACCCCAGTAGGCGAAAACCGGTCCTGCCCGGGATCCCCGCCTGGCACCTTCCTGAGCCTCGCGCTCCAGGGGATTGAAGAGCCCAGGGGGGACAGCGGGGAGCGAGCCCCGCCCAGTCCCACGAGAGAACGGGACTACAGCTCCCAGCATGCACCGCGGCAGGATGGCCGCCCGCCCTATTGTATTCTGAAGGAGGAATATGTCCCCCAACGTGTACCGCGGCCGGAGCCGATCCCGGGACTACAACTCCCGGCATGCAGCGAGGCAGGCGCATGCGCTGAGCGGGGCTCCGGAAGTTAGGTAAGTGTCTCGGTGGGGGCAGCCAGGTCCCCCCGTCCCCAGTGCGGGGGGCTTCACAGGAGGGTGAGTGGTGTGTGGGCCCCTAGGCTGACCCCATTGCTCCTCCCCGCAGCTGCCCGTGCGGCCGGGGCCGCCATGAATCTGGAGCGGGTCCCCAACGAGGAGAAGCTCAACCTGTGCCGGAAATACTACCTGGGTGAGTCCGGGGGCCCCGGCGCCAGGCTGTAGGGGAAGGAGAGGAGAGGAGAGGGCACCGGGCAGGGAGGGTGGGGAGGAGAGGGGAAGTGCAGTTGCCCGAGTGCTGGGATGTGGGGGGCAGGAGGTGGCACCGGGCAGGGAGGGTGGGGAGGAGAGGGGGAGTGGCAGGTGCCCGGGTGCTGGACTAGGGTTTGTAGGCTTGGGGAGCAGCGGGTGTAGATGGCAGCCACCCAGCGGGCCATGTTTTTCTGCCAGCCTCGGGGCTGCCTGCCTTGTGACCCCTATGCTGGTGCCTGGAGTACTGTGAGCTCCTGGTGGCAGTGCCCTGGCTGGCAGCCTGCCACAGCTGTATGGGGTGGGGGTCTGACCCCCCTCTGCTGCCCTCTCCCCAGGCGGCTTTGCCCTTCTGCCCTTCCTCTGGCTGGTCAATGTGCTGTGGTTCTGCCGCGAGGCCTTCCTGGCGCCCGCCTACACCGAGCAGCCGCAGATCAAGAGTTGTGAGTGGGCAGAGTCTGCTGAAGGGGGGGGGGGGCGCTGGGCACAGTGCTGGGTATGGCTCTGTGCTGGGAGCAGTGCCAAGGGCATTGGGGGCAGGGAAGGGGTGATCGGGACTGAGCTTGGGGGCAGGGGCCAGGAGCATGGCAGGTGGTTCCCGGTGGGGGGGGGGGGCAGAAGGGAGTATTGGGTGTAGACCATGGGGGCAAGAGAGCTGCACCCCCAATGCACCTATCGGGCAGGGCCTAAGGTATGGAGGACAGTGCCCAGAGGACTGGGAGAGGGTATTGGGAGCTGAGCTAGGGGGCAGGAGGGAGGGGCCCCTGGGGCAGGGCCCGGGGGGGCCATTGGGGCAGGGGACAGGGTCCTGGGCGGCAGGAGGGAGGGGCCATTGGGGCAGGGGACAGGGCCCTGGGGGCAGCAGGGAGGGGCCATGTGACGGGCACCGCACTCAGCTCCCCGTCTCTTTCAGATGTCCAGCGTTCGGCCGTGGGGCTGCTGTTCTGGGTGGTCGTGCTGACCACATGGGTCACCATCTTCCAGACACACCGGGCCCGCTGGGGCGAGCTGGGCGACTACCTGTCCTTCACCATTCCGCTAGGCATCCCCTGATGGCACCCCGCTCAGAGGGCATCCAGGGGGCGCCCTCCAGCTGGGACCAGCGGGGGTCACGTTCCTGCCAGAGCTGCTGTTCCTGGCCGGGGTTGCCAGTCCTCCACATGCCCGGTTCTGCCCCGTGATCCCAGTTGGGCTGCACCCCCTGCTCCAGGAGAATCAATAAAGCTGAGGCCCGTTTCACCCTGTCCCACTGGCTCTGCGGCTGTGTGTGAGAGCACCGGCTGGGGTGTGAGTTCCTGGGGGAGAGGTGTGTAGGGCCCAGAGAGGCAGCAGAGACAGGCAAGGACACTTCAGTGATTCAAGCCACCTGAAGTGGGGAAGGGCAGCATGTGAGGAAAGGGGGTGTCCCCACCACAATAGTCTTGGCTCCTGCCTTTCCTGGGGGGACATGCACATTCCCTGCGGGGGTAGAGACCAGAGAGGCGGCATGTAACTTCGCCTGGGTGAGAGCCAGAGCCATGGCTGCACAGCTGTGTGGTGGAATGGGGCAGGGAGTGCTGGGACACAGCCACCTCTGGGGAAGGGTAGCTGTGGAACAATCACACATAACGCCACATGGGGACAGCTCCCTCAGTACTGAGATGCAGCCACATCTGCAGGGTAGCTGGGGAACAGCCACACATAACATCACATAGGGATGGCTCGCCCAGCCCTAAGATGCAGCCACCTCTCGGGTGGGGCAGCTGGGGAACAACCACACGTAACGCTGCATGGGGATGGCTCACCCCGTGCTGAAATGCAGCCACCACTGGGGTAGGGCAGCTGGGGAGCAGCCACACAGTGACATTCCAAAGGCAGTTGAGTGCACGCTGTACAATTATAACTGCAGAGGGCAGGAAGGAGCCCTCGGCTTGCTCACGATAATGAGGGATCCCTCCACCATCAAGCCTCTTATGAAGAGCAGGGCTGTAAGTTAGGAGAGGAGGCAGCAGATGCTCCTGTCATCTCCACGCCTGGCTTTAATAAGAGGAAAATTATTATTTATGGTACTTTGGAGCCCTGGGCATGGGGCAGGGCGAGAGAGCAAGGGTAGGATGTGGCCAGGAAACGGCGGGCGGGTGGGAAGAAACAACTGAGATGTTGGCACATTAATGCCACGCTAGAGCCTGGGCCCCAGAAGGGAGCTGGGAGAACTGGGGCAGGCCGTGATGCTGGTTATAGACTGGCAGGGGTTAGACTGTCAGTGGTAAATGTGGATTTCACTGCGGCCGGCAGCTGAGTGTCTCCATCCTTGACAATTGCCTGCTACAGCTCGGCAGTGAAATGAAAATGCAGCCTGAGAAGTGGCTCAAGTGGAGCTCAGGCAATGTACAGGTGTGTTTTGGCCGGGGATGTTCCCTGGGGTGTTGGAATGGGGTTAAAGCTTTAGCCTTTTGCATCTTGCTGGCGCTCTCATTAAACAATAGACTGAACTTCCCATTGTGTGACATCCTCCCAATTTCCAACAACGGTGACTATTTAAAACAATAGAAATGGGTGGGGAGGCTTAAACCCCATAATTTTGTGCCACTGTGAAAATTTAAGTTGATAAAAATTAATAAAATGCTTAAAACTAAACCCTAATATTATCTGCCAAAATGATCAAAAATCAAAGCGGATTCTGCCGGCCTGCTTAGGACCAGCAGAACCCGGGGCCTAGGCCTCGTGGCGGAGCAGGGGTTGAAGGGTACATGGTGTTCAGAAGTGATGGAAGGAAAGGTAAGAGTTGGGGGGTAGCGTTGTACCTGCACTTGGCAGGATTTTATTTTTCTTTTCTGATTCTGATGGATATGATCAGTTTCTTTTTAAGCTTTTTTTAATTTAGATTTTTGATTTACATTTTCCCAGTTGCATGAGCTTAGGGGTTTCACCATTCTCTTTATGTTCATCAATTTAAATTTCCAAATTGTACCTGTTTTCACTATTCAGGGGCTAGTCTGCCTGTAAATTGTGATTATTGTGGATGGAAATATTTTAGGTTGGTGTGTCTGCAGTTACACCCCCATTTACCGATAATAATCGAACCCTGCCAAGCGTAGTTTTACAGCAGTGATGTGGCGGCCGTAGAGGAGTCAGAAGTGGCACTGTGGATAAAACAGAGGCAGTGTGGGTCAGAGATCGCATTGGGGAAGGATCGCAAGAGATAGTCTAGCAGGGTAGTGTCAGGGGTCTGCTATAGACCCCCCCCCCAGGTCAAATATTTATGTGGATTGAGATCTCTAATATTAGAAATACGTCTGTGGATCTGTGGATGATGTCATTATGGGAGACTCCAGCCCACCACGCACAGCTTGGCGAATAAAGTGCAAAGTACTTCACTTAGGAAGGAGAAATCACAACTCCCAACCAGGCAGTAACTGGCGAGGGGGTCGTACTGTGGAACTGGCTGCAGGGGGAGCACATCACTAGTGGAAGGGGGGTAGCAGTGGGATGCAGCTGCGAAGCAGGTCCAGCTCGTTCTGGGCTGTGTTAATGGGTGTGTTGGATGTGAGACACGGGAGGTCGCTGTCCCACTCTGCTTGGCCCTGGTGAGGCCTTGGCAGGAGTCCTAGGTCCAGTTCTGGGTGTGGCACTTTGGGAAAGATGGGGACACATTGCAGTGAGTCCAGACAGCAGCAGCAAAACTGATCCAAGGGTTAGAAAACCTGACCTGGGACGAAAAGAAACACCTGGGCATGTTTAGTCTTGAGAAAAGACAACTGAGCGGGGACCTGAGAACAGTCTTCAGCCACGTGCAGGGCTGCCGTAGAGAGGCCGGGGATAGTTGTTCTCCATGCCCGGAGGCAGGACAAGCAGCAATGGGCTTAACCTGCAGCCGGGGAGATATCAGGAACCACTTGCTAGCTCCCAGAGGAGTTCAGTCTGGACTCGGCGTCCAAGGGAGGTTGTGGGATCCCTGCCACTGGAGGTTTCTAAGCCCAGGCTGGACAAACCTCTGTCAGGGCTGCTCTAGGGTTACTTAGTCCCACCTCAGCACAGGGGCTGGACTAGCTGCTCTCTGAGGTCCCTCCCAGCCCCGCATCTCTGTGATTCCCAGGCAGGCTGGTGACTGAATCCCTCTAACAACAAGTAGGGCCCAGGATTTCCTGGCTGTGGCAGCCAGCAGTTTTCCTCAGCAAAACCCCCTGGGCAGCTGGATCCATGAAGGGGCTTCGGCACCCAAGTCCTGCACGCAGGGGCCCCCAAGATCCTCACAATCCCTGCCCGAGTCCTGATGCCATAGAGAGGAGCTCTGGGATTCACAAACCAGGTGTTCCCTGGCTGTCGGGGCCAGGTGGGCCTGAGCCAGACCCAGAGAATACCTAACCCCGCAAAGAGGGGCTGGGGGTGTGACTGCTTAGCCTGATTTGGAGCAGGGCTTGGCCCCTGTCTTTCCCCTCCCAGGGGAACCCCTAATATTCTGGCCCGAGTCCTTCCTGCTCCGTGTTGGTTACGGAGCTATTGGGCCGGAGGGAGAAGGACTCTGCACCTGGGCTTGCAAGGAGCCGGGTTTTATCGGTACACATCACTTGTGCGGGATGCACATGAGCCCACCTGTCAAGATCTCCCTTGCCTGGCAGCGCCAGCAGACCACAGCCTGGGACCAGTGCCGCAGCTGAAGGCTCCTTACGTGTCTCTTTAGACAGGGGATGAGACCAGTTTGTGTTTAACGCTTTAACCAGCTTTAGCCTTTCCAATCTCAACAGTGCCTGTCACTGACTATTGGCTGACTCTGCAGGCTGTTGTCTGATCCACCCCACCCCCACAGTTACCTGCCACGCTCAAAGCGTCACTGGATACACCTTGCAAAGACGATGCTGAGTGCTGTAATTGTGCACAGCCGGGACCGTGCCCATCGCTGCAAATGCTGTAAAACGCAACGTCGCTCTTGTCTCCAGTCGAGTCAGACAAGCCCGGTTCTGCCCCCGGGGAAGCAGGGGGCAGTGCTGCTCTGGGTTAGGGAGCGCAGCACTGCCCCCTGCTGAGCCCCTCACCCTGCTCCGCGGAGCTAGTAACTCTAGAGGGGCAGGGGTCTCTTGCCAGCTGCTGTGTGAAAGACACCGAGTTGCCCGAGGGAAGCGTGGCAGGTTGGCAACCAGGGGTGTTGCCCTGACGCTGAGAAGGGCGGGGTGTCATGCCCCATGGCTCTGGCTGGAGCCTCATTTATTTAATTTCTTCATTAATGAGCTTGACCCAGCATGGGCGGGTGAAACCTGCTGATGTGGGGTGGGGGGGGAATTGGGCAACCGGGAGCCCTGGATGACCTTGCCCATGGGAGGGACAGACAGGGGATGTGACAGCGTGAAAAAGCAAAGGTGTGGCGTAGGGCCTCTGGTAGGATAGACGGGGGCTTGTCAGTCAGAGGGAACGGGCACCGTGCCAACAGCCAGCGCGCATCAGGCGCGGCACTTCCAGCAGTGGTAGAGACGGGTTCGCGCCGCTGGCCAAGGGGCAGCTCAGAGCCCAGCTGGAGGGGTCCAGCTCTGTGCTGTTTCCCCACATTCCGGACATGGGGGTTCACACTAGACCCGGTACAGCGAGGGGCTGAGCCCAGGCGCAGAGAGTCCATCTCATGTGGCTTGTTCGACTGGGCACAAAGCAGGCTGAGAAAGGCTGTACTGGCCTAGAAATGCTGTAGGGGGAGCCAGGGAGTTGCTGCCATGGCTGACACACAACTCCCCATACCGCTCCATGCAGCACAGCGCCCCCTGCTGAGCCCCCACCCCTGCAGCCCATTGCCCCCTGTTGGGCCCCCACCCTGCTCCCTGCAGCACAGCAACCCCTACTGAGCCCTCCTGCCATGCTCTCCGCAGCACAGCGCCCCCTGCTGACCCCTGTCCTACTCCCTGCAGCACAGCACCCCCTACTGAGCCCCCCGCCTGCTCCCCACAGCACAGCAACCGCTACTGAGCCCCTGCCCTGCTCCCTGCACTCCAGTGCCCCCTGCTGAGCCCCCCCCCCCCGATGCGTGTTTCAGGACATACTTCGGACGCCGTTGCTCCGTCCTTGGGGCAGGGTCTCTGGTCCACTCCAGTCACCGGCTTCACTACCCCTCTCCTCCTGGGACAGCTGCTGCTTCCCCTAGAACCTGGGGCAGAGAGTTGTGGGCGGAGGGAGAGATTGTCATTATGGCCAGTCAGAATGGAGATTTCTTCCCACCTTACTGCCCCCCACCTCACTCTAACCATTAGCCCCACTCCCCTCCCAGACCGGAGGACAGAACCCA